CTTTTGTTTATGAATTATGTTGACTTCTTATGTTAATCATGTTAATTATGTTCATTATGTCATCTTTTTTGTTGCCCTTTTTTGGCTTTGCCCCCCCCCCCAAATTAAATACGTTCCGCCGCCCTTGTCTGTATGTATTCATTCATTCATTCATGTATTCATTTATTCTAACCCCAGCAATACCGTTTCTTGGAGCTAGCATTTGTTATGACAATAATGACAGTGATGTAACGCGAAACGGTGTCCTCGATAGTGCGCGGTTATCGCTTTCCTCCCGTATCTCTCTATAACTGCAAAATATGTAGCCAGTGCGCACGCATTAACTTCATATCATTATTTTTACGCGGATCTATATCATTGGTCTTTGCTTGAACATCGCGTGATGAAAGTAGGGGAAGTTGCTGAAGTAACACGTTGAAATGAATAATTAGTTAATTAATTAATAAAGTAGAAACTTCGGCAAGAATCATTTTCCCTCGCAAAGAAGCCAGTTTTGCTCGGCATCCCTCGTAACGTAAGTATGCTACGTAGCATAACGCGTAACTCTATTTGGGTAATAGAGCTGTGTAACCTAACCCGCCGTAGCGCGAAATTTCTGACTTGCGAAATTCATGATATATATAGGATGCGTATGCCAGAGTTTGATTGTTTAATTCGCATTGTAGCAGGCAGGTAAGGGTATGAAGGCAGGCAGGCAGGAAGCCAGATATCCAATCAGGTTGGCAGTGAGGCACTCCGCTACCTAGATAAATGCTAACTGCGTAGTTTCACGACGTTGAACATGTTTACTCTATTATTATATATTAAAAAGATCAAATCTAGCATTATTTATCTATATATACTAATGTATGCGAACATTAATACATCTTAGCTGAATATAGATAGATAGATAATAGCAGGAGTCTTTATTAACTCCTGATAATAGGTAGGCAAAATTGAGGGTGCGCGCGTACGCGCGGCCCATTTTATATATCGTGCGCGATGCGCGTTGCACCAAGCTCTATCCCAGGCCCATCTTTCTTTTCCCTGGCAACGCGACTACGCAGTTAGGAAACCAATGGCACGCGTTAGGCGCGTGCTCTGTGCGCTACTAAGGTGTATGTTATAACGGGAACGCGTGTTAGTATGTGTGCGCCCGCCCGTGCGCGTGTCTGTATCTGTCTGTGTGTGGACTTTACAATCCTGGCAAGAAAATCCTGGCTCAATCCTGCTAAATCCTGGCTCTATCCTGGCTAAATAATTTCTATGAGCACGTGAGCTGAAAGTCCCCAGTTTCACGCCGTCGAAAATGTTTATGCTATTATTGGAGAGAGCTAGCACACGCTGGGAAATCATTTACATTAATCGCTTGTATTTTCATGAACAATCTCAAATTTAGCATTATTTAGTCATATATACTGGACATACTGATAGGACTGGACATACATACATCTTAGCTGGATATAGATACATAGATAATAGATAAGCTCCGTGCCTTGTGTTGCGCACACGGTAGATGTATAGATAGATAGATAGCCAGGTAAATAGATAGATATATTGTAATGTATACATAGATAGATAGATAGTGGGTGCTTAAAATTCATCCATTTCCATTTGATACTGCAAAGTAAACGAAATAAAACGAGTATTGCAAATGTATACATATTTATTTTTATTGCATATTTATAGGTAAAATAATTTTAACACTAAAAGCGGTTGCATTTACATTAAACCTAACTATTGATAGAGTTTTCATAGGTAATTCTCGAGCTAGCAGGCTAGCACTATCTATCCGGTAGGTTCTCAATACAACCCGTTCTAGTAGAAAGGCATATATACGTACAGGCATTTAATAGACAGGTAAAATAAATACGTAGGAGACCAGAGACGTTTCTATCATTCAGACACTCTACATTGACATGACAGTCATACATGCAGGAATACCAACTCAAACAAAATTTTAATTTTAATATACACTTTCGAAATATATTATAACGATATGTGCAATATGGACTCAATGAACAGAAGGCTATAATGAAATGTTACATATATACCACTTACAGTAACGTTATGATGCTGCTCATGCTGTGTGCAGATAGGCTAGTTACCATTTCAGTTTGTCTTTCCAGTTGGCTTTCTAGACTGGTACCCGTTCGCCACCTTCACTCTGGCAAGTATCCTTCGCTACACTGAAGTTAGTTAGTGTAGCGTGTGGAACTGTCGACCGGGGAGCAGTCTAGGTTATAGCCGGCCGAGCCGTCTGGAGGAAAAGTCCTAGCGAAATGCTATGCATATAGCCTTGTTGCGCCATCTATCGCACACCATATGTACTACACTGATGTGGGGCCTCAACTAGTTGCTGCCACAAAAAAAGTTCAACTTCGTTTTTTACAGCAAACCAAGCGCGCCGAGTAGCGAACAAAGAATTACGACCATTTCTAGGAAATCTCTAGCTACATGGGTAGTCAAACCCGTCGTGCAATCGCCAGAACTGCTCAATTCAGCGATTGCCCCACAATTCTGCTATATAGTAAACCCGTTGAAATTGCTATTCAAGGGAAATTTTGCTAGAACACTCGAGTCAAGACAGTGAATATTTATGTGAACCTTACCTTTTAAGATTATTAAATTTACTGTCTAAAGATCCAGCGATGGGGTGTTGGCTGTTGCACTGAAGTGAAGAATGTTTTGTGTTGATCTGTCGTCTTGATTAACTTGTCTCTTCGTCTTTGATATGCTCCCTTGCAACTAGTAGTATAATATGGCTAGCTATAGCCCTGGACGTTTATTCCTTACGGACTGTCCAGTATAGAAGTAGAAGTAGAAGTAGTCGTACTCGACGTCAAGACGCAAGTGTCGCGTTTCCCGCAACTCAGCGTTGAAGTATTTACCGGATGACGTCATGTGACGTCACGGTTAGGTGCGCATGCGCAGAACACGCAGCGTCGACTTATTTACCGGCTGAGAAATTTACCGGTGTACCGTAGTATTTGGACGCTCGCCCGAAACTGGACGCTCCTAAGTGCGCATGCGCGCAGGTGCCTCTTGTTTTCAAGGGCGCATGCGCAGTATTTATCTGCGCATCTCGCCCATCAAAAACGATCGCAATAAACAAACATGGCGGCCAACCCGGTAAAGAAAACAAGAGAAAAACAAAGAGCATGCGCGCATGCGCACTTAGGAGCATCCAGTTTCGGGCGAGCGTCCAAATACTACGGTACACCGGGACACCGGTGCTGCAGTGCATGTAAATAATGCACAGTGGCGCCATCACTAGGGAGCACTAAAGGTCAAATGAAACACCCCTAGTAGGTACGCGCACAAGCACAGGTACCCTGCAAAAACATTTGCTCCTTTTCATGCTCTATTTTCAATTAGGCAACCGTACGTTTCTAACAAAATTTTGAGTTATTATTTAAGTCATGTGACTTTGCACTATCAGGATAAAAAGTGTAAATGTCTGCATTGTGCCAAAATTGTAAATGTTGGATGATATGTCGCGAAATTAAATGATTCACGAATATCTCCAAAACATGGTAGAAAGATCTAATGCCTAATATAGTCTCGAATGGCATGTTGCTATACTTACATACATGCTCGATAATATTCGGGTTCAAAACTACTTTTTATGAGTACTCTCCGTTTCGGGCGAGTGACTTTCAAATGTTACTCACCCAAATGGATTTGGTACTTGCCCTAAAAATAAACTGACAAAACAAGTACTAATAATATTATATACTAGATTGTGTTTTATAGTCATACTAATTCAAACGTATTTTACATTCAATGCTGTTTAATTATGATATCTACTATTATCATTCTAAGACAATAGTTTGAATACCAGTTATTTACAATGCTTTGTTGTACTCACGGTGACGGGTCCCCTCATTGTTTCTAATAAAATTTGGCCTTCTCTTAATTGTGTGTTACTATAGCAACCATTGTTGACTTATCAGCTGGCGCTCATGCGCTGTCAATAAATTTCCAAATGATTTAAAACTTGCCACAAACACAAACTGGAAATGTGGCAGTAAGGGTGTGTATGTTACGATATCACCGACTGACTCGTTGAAATACATTCAAAATAATTTTGAAACATGTAATATCATCAAACCTTTTCCCTAACAGTCACCAATGACTCACCATGAGTACCTGTCCGTCCAATACAAAGAAGGCACATAGCATAGCAACCATGATATCTGTTGACTTGTTGAATAGTATGAGTCTTGTTACTATTGGCATAAAAGCAACCATTATAATATTCTGCACTGACTGTGTTATTTATATGCTGTATTTTTGTCATAAGTCTGAGCAAGAAACGTGCGCCCTGAGATTGCAGCACAATATGTTAATAAATTGCAATTGTACATTTACAATGCACCTAGCAATGGAATGACCACATTCTTTATAACCTGCTGACATTTCTAGGTGTTGGTGAAACCAGGCGAAAATATATATATACTGCGGCTGCTGTGTTTAGGTGTAGACATCATATGTAAAGTCAGGCTGTATTCGTACTCAAAAGCACTTTGGAGCAGCAAATAAGCTATCAGTAAACATTAATACCAGAACCAGTAAAACAACTTTTCACAGAGAAATTCATTAGGATCGACACATGCCATTCGGCTACAAATGACATAAAGTAAAGGTAAAAGTACAGGTCTATCTTGACAGAATAAGTTGAATAACCCTCAATCTTTATCGGGGAATTCGTCTGGGTTAACGTCATACTCTTTCATCGCGCGCTCCATCAAGAACCAGTGTCCAAAACAGCCAATATCTACGATCCTTGTGTTAAACGTCAGCCAGCGCGGCTTTAACGACGGACAGCGCGCCTCATACAATTTACAGGCCTCATCGTAGTTGTCGACCCACATCAACGACATCAGTCCGAGGTCAACGTGCCGAATCAGGCCCTCGTTCTCACACGACACCAGTTGGCGCACGTGTGTGGCGGCTTGCGGGTTACGTGCATTGTCGCTCACGAGTCCATTGTCGTTGACACTGGTTAGAAGTGAGATGCGGAAGTCGTGGCGCGTAGGATTTGTCCTGATTGCGTAGACTCCCAGTCCAATTGCAGAGAAATAGAACGCCGCCTTTATAGGTTGTGCTTTTGAGTCCACTATCACATCCCTGCCGACGGATGCATAATCCTCACCTATGACCTTGCAGTAATTTACTGCAAGTGAAAAGGAGACATTCTGCTACGTATTAATATTAGTAATAGTATTACCATTAGGAACATTAATCTTGGTATTAAATATGTATTTTTAACGGCATCAATTTCCATCCCTCATGCATTACTATGAAAAGTTGCTTCAAAGTGCACGAATGAACCTAGTCCGAGATTCCTCTGACCAATGCCCACACCGACGATTTTGGTGGATTTGGTGTGGGTTAGAAAGATTCCTCAGACCAATGCCCACACCGACGATTTTGGTGGATTTGGTGTGGGTTAGTGGTTCACACCAGTGGTTGGGTGCTAACCCACACCAAATCCACCAAAATCGTTGGTATTTCTAATAAAATTTGGCCTTCTCTTGCGTGTTACTAGCAACCATTGTTGACTTATCAGCTAGCGCTCATGCGCTGTCAATAAATTTCCAAATGATTTCAAACTTTCCACAAACACAAACTGGAAATGTGGCAGTAAGGCTGTGTATGTTACGATATCACCGACTGACTCGTTGAAATACATTCAAAATAATTTTGAAACATGTAATATCATCAAACCTTTTCCCTAACAGTCACCAATGACTCACCATGAGTACCTGTACATCCAATACAAAGAAGGCACATAGCATAGCAACCATGATATCTGTTGACTTGTTGAATAATATGAGTCTTGTTACTATCGGCATAAAAGCAACCATTATAATATTCTGCACTGACTGTGTTATTTATATGCTGTAATTTTTGTCATAAGTCTGAGCAAGAAACGTGCGCCCTGAGATTGCAGCACATTATGTTAATAAATTGCAATTGTACATTTACAATGCACCTAGCAATGGAATGACCACATTCTTTATAACCTGCTGACATTTCTAGGTTGTTGGTGAAACCAGGCGAAAATATATATATACTGCGGCTGCTGTGTTTAGGTGTAGACATCATATGCAAAGTCAGGCTGTATTCGTACTCAAAAGCACTTTAGAGCAGCAAATAAGCTATCAGTAAACATTAATACCAGAACCAGTAAAACAACTTTTCACAGAGAAATTCATTAGGATCGACACATGCCATTCGGCTACAAATGACATAAAGTAAAGGTAAAAGTACAGGTCTATCTTGACAGAATAAGTTGAATAACCCTCAATCTTTATCGGGGAATTCGTCTGGGTTAACGTCATACTCTTTCATCGCGCGCTCCATCAAGAACCAGTGTCCAAAACAGCCAATATCTACGATCCTTGTGTTAAACGTCAGCCAGCGCGGCTTTAACGACGGACAGCGTGCCTCATACAATTTACAGGCCTCATCGTAGTTGTCGACCCACATCAACGACATCAGTCCGAGGTCAACGTGCCGAATCAGGCCCTCGTTCTCACACGCCACCAGTTGGCGCACGTGTGTGGCGGCTTGCGGGTTACGTGCATTGTCGCTCACGAGTCCATTGTCGTTGACACTGGTTAGAAGTGAGATGCGGAAGTCGTGGCGCGTAGGATTTGTCCTGATTGCGTAGACTCCCAGTCCAATTGCAGAGAAATAGAACGCCGCCTTTATAGGTTGTGCTTTTGAGTCCACTATCACATCCCTGCCGACGGATGCATAATCCTCACCTATGACCTTGCAGTAATTTACTGCAAGTGAAAAGGAGACATTCTGCTACGTATTAATATTAGTATTACCATTAGGAACATTAATCTTGGTATTAAATATGTATTTTTAACGGCATCAATTTCCATCCCTCATGCATTACTATGAAAAGTTGCTTCAAAGTGCACGAATGAACCTAGTCCGAGATTCCTCTGACCAATGCCCACACCGACGATTTTGGTGGATTTGGTGTGGGTTAGAAAGATTCCTCTGACCAATGCCCACACCGACGATTTTGGTGGATTTGGTGTGGGTTAGTGGTTCACACCAGTGGTTGGGTGCTAACCCACACCAAATCCACCAAAATCGTCGGTGTGGGCATTGCCATTGGTCAGAGGAATCTCGGACTAGAATGAACCTTGTTAATAGTAATACTCATAGATAGAATGGCCCGTCAGTTATTTATGACATTACTTGACATAGTATTAGTATTACTATTACTAGTATTACTATTAGTATTAGTATTACTATGTCAAGTAATGTCATGTGAATCGTGAGAATGCCATGTCTCATTCAAGTCATTTTCTGATGTCATTCTGAATTTCTGTGAATCAGAATCGTTTGAGTAAATTAATTATGTTACATGTTTACAAACCGTGTGCAATAAAAAGATATGTGCTTACTAATTCTCTCCAGATAACCGCCTTTCAGTTTTTCAGACCACCTGGCCTTTGACGACGATATTCGTTTGGAAAAATGAATACCTTTACTTCTTAACGAACCCATGAGCGCGGCCATATTGGGAGCCTGACAGCGCCACCTCGTGAAAAATAATTTTTCCGCTTAAACAAGTGGTTATTTGAAGACGTTGACGTCACACGCAGACGTCTTCATAATCATAAACGAGTTCTTTTGCTTCTGACTCTGTCAGTGTCAGGATGTTGTAAAGTTGACAGCCGTAACTGTTAACATCAGTAAGTTTATGAAGACGGTTATGTTATGTTACGATATGTTATGTGACGGATGCTAGATGACCGTATGGTCTTTTCGCCATCCCTTCACTCGCTGGACGTTATTTATATTTTGTTAAAAAATCCTTGTAGGCCTATCTCACTAGTATCTGCTGATAAAATAAACTCTCCTTAGTTTTATATATTATAAAAGTTATATGTTATGTTATGTTCTCGTACTTGTCGGTATCCACTCTCAGGGCTGCCAACATTGGGTGATAGGTGAGAGTGAGATGCGAGGGAGCAAAGCGACCGAGGGGGGGGAGGGGGTTTCATTTGCCATTTGGTGCATACTAAAGACTAAAGTGACTGTTTTCAGATATTGTAAGATTTTTTGTTGCTGTGCGTGAGAGATTTCAGCGTTTTATTCATGAAGAGATGATATTCATGCGTGAGATATGGTATCTCAGCATTTTTTTTGCTGTGCGTGAGATATTGTAAGATCAGCGTGAGAGCGTGAGATTTGGTCAAAATGCGTGAGTCTCACTGTCAATGCGTGAGAGTTGGCAGCCCTGCACTCTGCACTGAGTGACATGCAGGCAGAGAGTGCCTTCAAGGGTGAACCTGCTTACTGTTATACATATTTCTAGTGACACGCTGCGCTGCAGATGTGCTGTTGGAGATGATTTATCGCTTCAACGGTAGTGTTAGCGGGGCATCCTCGACAACTTACACCTCCCACTCACAGGAAGGCGACATCTTTACTGAGCGACGAGCGCCTACACTAAAGAAGAAAGACTATTCGTGGATTTCAAAGTCGTAAGCATGCACTATATAGCCTTGAAACAAATAGATACACACAATAAAGCTTGTTCCTGCACTCAGAAACATTAGTTTGGTCTTACCTGAACACAGGTTTGCACTCGCACTCACTCTTCAATTTGTGGAATCCGGTGGACAGGTGTGGAGTGAACATTAAAATGTGTTTATGTGCATTCACACTTCTGTACATTCTGCCCAATGCTGTACATTTGCTAAATTTGTAGGGTGTGTTATATATAGTAAATAAATTTGGAAATTAGAGGAACTTATTGTTTATAATCTTCGTAATGATATATGTTTTAATATTTGTTATTCTGCTGGTGTGAAGTTCCTCTAACAGCAAAACACCAGGAAGCCTCCTAGAAGCAGACGAACAACCTTCAGGTTCAGGTATTTAAACAACATCCACACAATAAGTTACCATGCATGAACCTACCATAGATTAGGATGAAAATGGAGTAAATGGAATCTGAGAATCTATCTTTCATTGATGGTCTCCGAATTGTAGCGGTGAAAGGTCATTTTTAAAACTCAAGTTGATTAAAAATCACATGAGAACCACGATGAGCCAACAGAGACTGGTAAACCTCAGTATTCTCGCTATCAAAAGTGACATTTTAAATTTGTTGAAACACGATGAATACTCTCTGAATTTGCAAGGCATGAAGTGCAGAAAAAATACAGACTATAGGGCCCCCACACAATTGCGTGCCCGGGCCCCACACACGCTTAGTCCGGCCCTGTCCATATCCAGTATATATGTCATGAATCAAGAACATACGGTTTAATAAATTTCTCTATTATGGACTCTTGATGTTATATGGAGGACATCGGATTTGATAATCACTGTAGATCGATGCAGTTCATCAACATGAACAGACTATAACTCTACTCTTTACAGTCCAATGCAATGCCCAAATTAGACTTAGTAGCATAAACATGAAGAATATGTATCCAGGATATATCCTGTAATCAATACCGGTTTTGTCTGTGTGCAGAAACAGGGATTTGGGACTTGATCTCCTTCTTTGTAGCCTGACCAACGCTTCACCTGAAATTCGATAAAAAGGAATGAACACTTGAGTTACTGTAACTATTAGATAATTATAGAACTACAGTATATAAAGCTGAATATGTAATGAGTGAATAAGTATCAGCTTACTCGTGTAATGTGAATCATTTAAAAAAAATTCACAAGACGCAACTTCGTAAATACGAAAGTTTGCACGAGGATTCAAGCTGCACACAAAAATGACGTGTATCTGACCCTATGTAACCAATAAATGCAAGAATAAACTTTTTATTCGCCAGTTTCAGCAGTATCGTCATTTTCATAAACACCACATGTGTACATATGTCGTAAAAAGCTACAAAATAAGCACCAAGTTATAAATAGCTATAGGCAGCATATACTCTACACCCGGCCTTCAAACGTATAATTTATTTCGTATACTCTACTCATTTGGAAACCTAGCAATTTTGTGACTCATGGGTATGGAAGGAAATATCAAAGCATGGGGAAGAATGCGCACTTATACCTATATTCGTGTACATGTGATGCACGCACGCATGCATGCACGCACGCACGCACGCATGCACACACACATTGTTAGATGGCGCCATGCCGTTGTTATAAATCCAAGGTGACACTGACAGACCGACATCATTACATACTAAACTAGACAGAGTGCACTCACGCGAGAGTGCAATACCTCCGCCAGCAACATACGCCAACGACTCACGAACACACGAATAACGCACGATATACGCCAGCGTACTGACATATACACGCTGGCTGCTGCTTGCTGCTCGCTCGCTCGTAGCAGCCGCTCGTTGCCGCTGCTCGCTCACATGTACACGCTCGCTGGCTCGCTGCGCTGGCTGACTCGACGCGCTAATATCGATCGCGAACACACGAACGCACGAACGCACGAGAGCGATCACATAACCTCCTCCAACTCCGTTGGGCGGAGGTAAAGACAACGTATGCCCGCATTTCACCCCCCCCCATTCCTGTTACTATAATTCGGGTGCTGCAATTACACTTTCGCGCAATAGCAGCAAGCCGGTCTCTGGCTATATTCTGTGAATGGATACTCCCACGGGCCTTTCAGCTGTATATATCTGCTTGCCACAACCACGCACTATGGGCCTTTTATGCGTAAGGCCGCGAAACTCAGCCGTGTGCGACCAAACCTGCTTGATGCGCTGTGTAGCGATTACATACATGGGCAACGCGCTCAAAAGAGTACACGACAAACTACACGACGAGCATATAGTGACAAGTGGCAAGCGTAAGTACGAACACATATTATTCTAACGCAAGCTGCGTGTCCGTGGTATGATCGAAGCTCTCATTATATCATTTCGCACACGCCGCAGCAAACAGAATAAGCTATCAGGAGCCTACTGGCTCCTGGCGTTACGCATTACAGATTATACCTGCACTATTAGACTGACGCACGGATTACCAAGCGTAATTGGTTGCTGGCACAGAAGCTGTGTGAGTACGGCCACAGGGACGTTTGTTGTCCGTCTAGCATTACGCATTACATTAGGAGTCAGATAGTAATTATTAATGGGCTCTTGATTGCTCCTTGCCATGCAAGCATGCGGCAACAAGCTGCACCAGGCTGAGAAATTAATTAGGAAGCGAATAACTCGTGTGGAAACACTGGAAAGTCATATCGCGTGTGCGCGGCAAAAACAGTTAAGTGCGATGACGGGGAATCTTCTAATGATGGGCTGTTGGTTTTACATCGACAATCACCTGTTTTCTTTATGAAACCCGCAAATGCTGTCTGCTATGTGTGTTACTATAGAATGTGAAGTAGAGTGAGAATTGCTGGAGCGAGAACGATAGGCAAGACAGAGAGATGGGAGATAAAATGAGGGTCGAAGAAGGAGAAAAGATCGCGCCGCGCGGTGCACGAGGGAGACGTGTGTGAGAGAGAGAGAGAGAGAGAGAGAGAGAGAGAGAGAGAGAGAGTGTGAGAGAGAGAGAGAGAGAGAGAGAGAGAGAGAGAGGAGAGCGCGAGAGCGAAGAGAGATATTTGCCCATCTCACCCACCACTAACAACAGCCACCGGTGACGGACAAATCCCGTCGCGCACAGGTGCCTCCGTGGCATACAGACCACGCCCGCCTTCTCTCCAACCACTCGTCAATAACACCAGCCAGCTCTTGCCCTAGTTTTAGCACACACAAAGCTAGGGCGCAGTGCTTGTATAAGGACTATAAGGTGTACCGAAGGGTTCCGGTCAGTATTATTATATTCCCTATACGCGCAGGCGAAATACAGTGGCTTGCTGCTACATCCGCTTGATTATTAACCATTGCGATATACTAGCTAATTGTTATCATTGGTCTTCAGAGCAGCAAAAGTTCGTGACGACACACACATGCGTACAGGTGTGGATGCTAGCTACGCTTGCAGCCTCCAGGTCTGAGAGACAGAGTGAGTATAATATACGATATATATACGATGCATATATTATGGCGAACGCAAACTATTTTTGTGCATAGAAGTTACACACATATATTATATATATATATATGTGTGTGTGTGTGTGTGTGTGTGTTTGTGTGTGTGTTGTGTGTGTGTGTGTTGTTGTGTGTGTGTGTGTGTGTGTGTGTGTGTGTGTGTGTGTGTGTGTGTTGTGGGTGTGTGGTGTGTGTGTGTGTGTGTGTGTGTGTGTGTGTGTGTGGCGTACGTGCGTGCGTGCGTGCGTGCGTGCGTGCGTCGGCGAGCGTGTGTGTGTGTTTTACAGCTTGGTTATGTTACAGTTAGACTGATACTTTTGAACGTTTTTGTTGCGTATAAAGTACGGACTACGGGGCCATTCTCCGTAGCAAATTTACAGCCATCTCCATGGTGCGATATAATACGTACACCGCTGTACGACATTGACATACAGACAAGCGCAATTAACACTGTATCCGTGTTGCTTAGATACCAGCTAGTGCTAGTCGCTTTAAAGCTCCCGCGCATAGCGAGTGCACCTGAAGTGACAGAAAAAGATTTTCGTTTCAAATATCAAGAATAGAACTGCAATCGAAACTATTCTAACTACAAGGTGAAACCAACAATGCATGAAAATCCTTCCTTCCATAAGATATAGGAAAACGCGATCACTGTACTAGCGAAAGTTACCCCACTTCCAAAATCGTCCCGATTATAAACGCTCTTTACCGATAACATCGTAATACGAAATATAAAAATAGAACCGCTAATATAACCGACTATATACTATATACCTAATATACTATGTTACTATATACCGCTATAATATAAACCTACTACGAAAAATTAAGACGCTGCATATATATTTTCAATACAAGAAGGATCGATTATGGTAATCAATGCGCGCGCGCACG